CAGCAAGAGCTTGCCCTGGGATTCCTCCAGGTCTTTGGGGCTAAAACAGGAGTGCCACTTATACATCTCAGTGAAGTGGGACTCAGCAAGCTTTCTCTTCCAGGACTGAAAATCCAGCGTTTATTACCAAAGTAACCTGGATTAATGAGATCATGGCAACTGTCCGCCTCCATCTCTCTAGGGATTTGTTCTGCATGGAGTTAGCAGTGTTTAGTTGCTGGAGTTTTAGTCCCAACAGACTTACATTTCTCAGCTTTGAAATCTTACAGTTATTGAATCTGAGACTGAAGATTTCCAATAATATTTTAATATTCTAAATTAATATCTTTTCAGACCAAAATACAGGTGAAAATGGAAAAGCTGTCTTCAACTACCAAGGGAATTTGTGAACTAGAAAATTACCATCATGGGGAGGAGAGTAAACGGCCCCCTCTGTTTCACACGTGGCCCACAACTCATTTCTGTAAGTAGTTCTTTCTCAGGGTAGAGGTTACAAGAGCGTTTAGTATCATCTAGATCTTGTACTTTCAGAAGCTGACAAGGCTTTGAAATTCAATGCAGAAGTATCCATTGGGATGAAGAGAGGCGGGGACATCTTAAAATAAACATTTCTTCTTGGCTTTAATTACCTAATCATCAGCAGAGAACATTAAACATAATTAGAGACCCAGGAAGTGAGTTCCCATTATTAGCCACCTAAAACCTATGCGTAGAATGAATTCCACTCTGATGGAGGCAGAAATCTATAATTTTTATTTTGGAAGAAAGGTTTTCTTTGTTGTTGCTTTTTTTTTTTTTTGCTTTGTTTTAATTAAAAAATAAATTGAGGTCACTGAAGTCAACCTCATGGAAGACGACTCCTGGGAAAAATGAAACTCATTACTTAAATAAGCTCCATGAGATACTTCTTAAAGGATTACTTTTAGCTTTATTGGTTCAAAGAAAGGCTAAGCTGTTTGATGTTGATTTGAGACTTCACTTTTTAAATAAGGGAGAAAAGGGAAAAATCATCTAATGGAATGTGTTTATGAAGCATTGTCAGTCTGAAGCGAATCTCCTACTTACAATCACCGCAAGTCACTTAAGAGTTAAGTGTAAAAGGTTACATCTACTTTTTAATTTCATCCTACTTACCATGTTATCTCACTGTACTCATCTGCACCAGCTAGAGTGATAAACACTCATCTCATCCTTCTTTATCTCGGTCCTATTGCTGATTCTAGTTTTTAATGAGGAGCTTTTAAAATTGTGGTTCATCCCGAGTACTTTCTTGAATTAGCACGAAGGGCAAATGAATGTCTGTTCCAGATGAGGTTTCCCGCAAGCTCTCTGACATGTACGGGAAGGAGCTGCTCCTCAAGCGCACGGTGGCTGAAGAGCTTGCACACTGCTCGGACCACGACCTCACCCTGAGCTACTTGTCCATGTGGCTGCACCAGCCCTACGTGGACAGTGACAGCAAGCTGCACCTGGAGAGCATGCTGCTCGAAACGGGGCACCGAGCACTGTGACCTCCTAGAGCAGCTTTGTTGGGAGCTTGGCCTCCATGCTTGGGCCACTGGCTTCTTCCACAGCTGCGCAGATGCATGGTTTCCGGTGTGGGGCCCAGTGCTGCACCCCGGGATCGGACAACCCCCGGCTGTGTCAGGGCCTTCCAGGCTGGAGCATGTCCCCGGCTCCGTGGCTTCTCCAGGCATGTTCACGACATTGCAGCCTCCACCTGGCGCCACCTGCCAGTCAGCCTCGCCTGCACCTGCGGTGAATCTGTCCCGCATGAGTGCTTCTGAGTGAAATAAATGAGTTTCTGGACAGAATGATTTAGTGATCTGGTCTCTGTAAATTAGGTGTACTTTATGCATTACGTGTGTGTAGGAAATCCCTGGTTTGATAATTTCACTTCATACTGTCTATATTGTTGAAATGTTTATGAGACTGTGTTAGTTTTTGGTAATTACGACTAATGTTTATAATCCCATAGAGTTAACTAAGCAAAGTTTGGCATCATGGAAATGGAAAATATCTAAAAATAATGGCCACTGCCTGCCTACCGAGGATACCACCGGCCAGGTAAATACCTTATGCATCACTCTGACATGATTCCTCCAGTCTGGCCAGGTTTGCAGCCATTTCCATGGGAATGTATTCGGGCTAGAATAAGGAAAAGGTGGTAGTCTGAAACAGACTGAGGAGGGTGGCCAAAAACTATAGGGGAAGGGATGCTGGGGTCCCCAAAGGCCTACTTTAAACTATTATTTTCTGTTGCATTAACTGTTATATATTTTCTTCATCTGTGTTTGCCTTTTTATAATTCTCTGGACCCAAATTGTTTATATTTCATGGGACTGTGTATAGTGATACTTATTAGTTCTCTTTTTTTTTTTGAGACAGAGTCTGACTCTATTGCCCAGGATAGAGTGCAGTGAGGTCACGATATCTCATGGCAACCTCCAACTCCTGGGCTCACTCGATCCTCCTGCTTCAGTCTTCCGAGTAGCTGGGACTACAGGCAGGTGCCACCATGCCCAGCTGATTTTTTTTTAATTATTATTTTGTAGAGAACAGATCTCACTATGTTACCCAGGCTGGCTGGTCTCAAACTCCTAGGCTCAGGCAAATCTCCCACCTCAGCTTTCCAAAGTGCTGGGATTATAGGCATGAGCCACCATGCTCAGCCTCATTTTAGAATTTTTTTATGTCTAACTATTAAAATACTACTTACCTAAGTTTATCAAGACTATTTTAACTTTTATAGCCAGGAGGACCCCAGATACCTACTACCTCCAACTCCTGCTGTGTTCTTTTACAGATGAGAAAACAGAGGTTCCTTTTCTTCCTTAGAGAACAGAACAAAAACAATTAAAATTAAAAAAAAAAACAAAACAGAGGCCCCTACTCAGGCATGGAGTTGTCTTGAGTTATGTACTACTAAATGGCAGTCCCCAGATTTGCTTTCTTTCAGTCTACCCTGATTTACTGGTATAGCCCCCAGGCTCTATTTTCCTTATTTTTTTGCCAAGCATTTACCTACTATATATGCTCAGCCCCATGCTCAGAACTAGGGACTCAAAAACTAATGAGACATAAAATCCACTAGAGACTTTTGGACCAGGAAGGCAGACAGAGCTGTAGTACAACACATGCTATAGTGTTCAATTCTACCCTTGCTCCCCAGGAAAAGAAATCTAAGAAATTTCATGCTACGTAATAATAGGGTATAGCTGTATGAAACTGAAGTTCTAGGGTCCTAGGAATAAGTGCTTCCAAGAGAAAGAAAGAAAATACGCCAAAAACAAAAGGCTGTGTGGCAGGGATGTGTTTGGAGTGAAAGTTAGGATTTCTCACTGTGCAACTGAGGTATTGAAAGCATTTAAAGGCAACATTTCTTAGGATTTCTCTGTCTTTGCTGTATTTATTAAAATCTAACTATCACAAAGGTAGACACTTAGGTGCCTGGTAGTCTGACAGGGCATGGTCATTCTTGGCAGGAAGGGTCTTGTCCTGCTAGGGGCTCCCCTGCTTGCTGAGGAAGCAATTACTGCCAAGATGGCAGAGGCAGTTGGGTGGGACAGGACCTCCAGCGGGGCTGCTCACTGGCTGCCCACCTGGAAGATGCCTTGGCATGGGGTCCATCTGCAGTCAGTTTTATGTTTGGGAGGTGCTTAAAGAACAAATGCTCTTCTTCAGAGGAGACACTGAAGGACTTAATATCACGAACAGGCCTTCAGGACATTTCACGTGTTCTTGACGAGGCACTCCCCGGACACCCATCAGCAAGCTGCTCAGGAGAACTAATGGGAAGGATCGATACTGCTAAGGACAAACGAGTAAAAGAGCTAAGTGCTGAACAAAAGCAATGAATCTGCTGAGCAATTTCTATCTAAAAGAAGCAATGAAGTAGTCAGACTCCTAGTTGAACATAGCAGGTGGATCACACCCTTATGTTCTTCATCTCCAGAAATCTTGCCAAATTCTTAGTAAAGGAATTAAAAGCTAGAAATCCACAAAATCGGGCCAGGAGCAGTGGCTCACACCTATAACCCTAGCACTTTAGGAGGCCAAGGCAGGAGGATCGCTTGAGGCCAGGAGTTGGAGGTTGCAGTGAGCTATAATGATGTCACTGCATTCCAGCCTGGACGACAGAGTGAGACCCTGTTTCTATATAAATAAATAAGAAACTAAACAAATGGGAAAAAAACAAAACAAAACCAAGGCAATTATTTCCAGGGGGGAGAAAAAACTCAAAGAAAGAAAATGTCACCATAGTAACACCAATAGGGCTTAGCAAAGAAGGGCATTTGTATGTCAATGTAAGCATTAGATATGGACTTAATCACAATTTGTGACCTGTCTACACTACATGTGAGGGCCAGGAGGCACCTAAGCCACATGCTCACATGTCACAACAGCCTGCCAATAACATCTGATACGACTAAAGAAAAGAGCACTATAGACGTAATTCAGAACCACGGAGGCAACAGCTATACGGGAGGAAAGTGGTTGCTTCAGCGGGGGCACGGCGGGGCGGCGGTGGCCAAGGTCGGGCCTGCTGTTGCTCAACGCAGGCCTTTGCTGTTATCTGATGTTTTATACAATGTGCATATTACTCCCCAGGTGAAAATAAAAATTTATTTTTTAAAATGTGCCTAAGAGGGCATTACATATCCACTCTGCCGTGGCCCCTTCTCTCCTGCTGGTTCAGCTCGCCCCACTCCTGTGCCGCCTGGAGGCTCTGGGGCCGCAATGCCAGAGGTGCCCAACCAGGGCTGCCTGACCAGAGCGGCCCGACCGCCGCCTTTTCCAGGGAACACAGAAGGGACTTTCCTTTCATAGACTAGGTGCCAGGTCTCAACTGCCCTCAGGTGACAACTGCCCTCATCAGCCAACCGACGGGAGTCCCTCAGGGGGTCCTTGTCCCCAGGTCTGTGCTCTAATGCCTCTTCCCTCCTGCTCCTTGTCTGAGTATTTGAAATTACAAGTACTATGTATACAAAACAAAGCTCTTCATGAGAAAAGGAAATTTCTGTTTATTCTACCACAATAAAGCCATGTCTATTAATAGAGGGTTGCGACGTGGAAGCTATGCCATGTATCTTTATACGTACTAGGGAACTCTGCAAAGGCCAGCCTGGAAGAGAAGGCACAGGGCACCCGAGAGCAGAGCCCCGAGTCCTGCTCACTGCCACCGATCCCGTGCCTGGCACACAGCAGCACCCAGCGGGCACGTGGCCAGTCAGTGAGGACACTGCTTCAGGGCCTCCAGTGTTTCCAACTCTGCGCAGTGGAATGAGGGTAGTTTTTTTTGTTTTGTTTTTTTACTACAGTTAAATTCACTATCCATTCATAGTAGCGCATACGCAATGGTGAAATTAAGATGTTGGGATGTTCAACATAGTGTCCTATAGGTGCAAAATATATGTTTAGCAGGGCCTTGTCCAGACCACGGCTTGTGTTAGTTGCCTGACTGGGGTTATGAATGATCCGCAATGAGAAGGCTCTGCCCGTCTCCAGGATCCCAGGAGGGAACGTTTCATCAGACACCGGGCTCCCGAGAAATGGCCCTGAGTCTACGGGACACAACCACAGGCTGGCCTGATAGCGCGACTCTCATAGGCAGCTGCAGCCTGCTCATCTGCCAGCTGTTGCTGTCCTGCTGAGAAATGCGCCCTTCTGTGCCTACTGAGCCTGCCTCGAGATCAAGTGAGCGAATACAGCTGCCTCCTAGTCATGGAAAGGCTGTAGGAAATGCTGCCCCTGAGAACACAGCCCATCCCTCCACAGCAGGTGCCAGAAGGAGCACAGAACCAGGGCGCTGTGCAGCCCGAGACCCCAGCCCTGTCCCTCAACGCAGCCCTCTCGGCTTGAGGCCTCTCCTGACAGTCTCTGCCAGCTGCGAGGAGAGAACAGCTGCTCCCTTTGAATGCTCTTGTCTACGTGTGGACAAATGACCCCCCCACACTATAGCCCAGGAAAACATTCAAAAGCATAGAGACCCCAGCAAGTGACTTTAAGTCAGAGAACTGGGATTCTAACCTGAGCTCCATCTCGCTGTGCACCTCCTGTAAGTCATCCTATCATTTACACCTCACTTTCCTCATCCATGAAATGCAAATAGAAATGGATTTTTTTTCCTACATCTCAATAAAATGCTGCCCCAAATGCCTAGCTTATTTTTTTAATTGAACCCAGAAACAGCTTCTAGTATGGGCCAAGTCAGGTGGAAAAGCAGCGAATCACCCAGGAGAGCAGAGGTTGTTTTTTAGGCATAGGGAGCGGGAATACTGCAGTGTGTTCACTGCCACAGGCATCAAGAGCTTGTGGGAGTGGATGTGTCGGAGGGGTGTGTCATTAGGTCACATACCCGCTCTTGTAATGAGCTCTGTACAGAGATGTAGACAGTAGGGTAGAAAGACATTATTCTTTATAAATTAAGGTTCATTTGTATCAGTATTCACATTAGAAAAATATACATTGCTTGAAATAGACCTTCTTTGCATAAAATACATACAAATCTAGGATCTGACCCCTTTTCACTGCGAGGGCTCTGCCTCCATGGTGAGGAATGACTCCACGGTTTCTAGGGGGACTCCTTCTGGTAGGCCCATCTGCAGGGCAGGCCCCTCTGCATTGGTTACTATGACAATGTCCTCCTCCCGAGACACTATTGTACCTGGATGGGACAAGATGAGCCCATCAGAAGTCTGAATAAAAATCTGCTCCTGTCCCTGAGACAATAACTCATGGCACCCACTGGTAATTTCAAAAGCCACGGCCTCACCTATAGCAACCACACCCTCCAGTTCTCTCTGTCCAGAATGCACCTCCACCTCGCAGGGGAACCGGTTCAGGTCCCCCAAGTGGTTTCTGAGACCTCCAGGGGACAGTGATCCATCTGGGCCAGGCCGAGGCCCAGGCTCGGACACAGTCCTGTAGGTGCAGTCCACTGGCACAGTGTTCAGGGGCAGAATTTTCTCAAGCGGAGGTGCTGCAACCTCTGCGGGCAGGACGTTGCTGGGGCTGGACTCCTGGCAGTTCAGATGAGAGTCGCGCACCTCGTGGAGATTTCCTGCTTCTGCACTTCCGGACCCGCCAGGCAGCACGGACTCCCCCGCTTCAGCTGATGACAAGGTGCTGCAGACACCTGGGCCCCTGAGGCTGTCCCCGGCATCCCGGTCTGAAGAATGTTCTGGAGCACTCTCTTCAAGGAATGCTGCCACCTGTGCCTGGGTCAGACTCCTGCGCTCTCCCAACCGAGTATAAAGAACAGGTCCACCAACATCCCGACACGAGAGAGCAGGGCCCGCAGACCCACTCCTGGCTTCTAAGTCGGCAAATGCCTTAAGCTGCTGGCCCGCGTGTAGTATGCTTCTATTGCCATCAGAAACCGTCACCGTATGGCTTTCTTCAGAATGGGGAGAGACATTCCCATTTACTCGAGGGGCAAACCCTATAGCAGTTCAGAAAAATAGGTAAGCATATATGTACTGTGTTATGGCCCATTCACTATCCAAATGAACAAGCTAGTCCAAATTAGCTTTCTTGCAAAAAAGTTAAAACATAAATTCTCCTTGCTACTTGGGATTGGTAACAATTTTTGTTGTATTAGTCCCTATCATCTATTAGCAAAGACAAGAGTGCATATTAAAAATGTGTGCTAAGTGCCACTCAGCAGTGTGATTTTATACCAACGCTGGATGAATGATCAGTGGTCCTTCATCAGAGGCGATACAGGGAATCACTTGAGAGGCTTTTCAAAATAATTCTGTCCACACCCATCCCAACATCCCTACCCACAGACCGGGAATCCTGGGGCAGAGGCCCAGGCCCCTGTACCTCAGGCGCTCCTAACACACATGCACCAATTGAGAAACACTGTCCTGGACCCTGTCGGGAAACTGCCTTATTCATCACTGAGTCTTCCATATCTGTGACAACATGGCATTTAACAGGTACTTAAGAACTATTTGTTGGCCTAGAGTGGTGGCTCAAACCTGTAATCCTAGCACTTTGGGAGGCCGAGACAGGAGGAATGCTTGAGGCGAGGAGTTCAAGACCAGCCTGAGCAATAGTGAGGCCCCATTTCTACAAAAAACACAAAAACTAGCTGGCCGTGGTGGCACATGCCTGTAGTTCCAGCTACTTAGGAGGCTGAGGCAGGAGGATTGCTTGGGCCCAGGAGATTGAGGCTACAGTGAGCTATGATGCCACTGCACTCCAGCTTAGGCAAAAGAGCAAGACCCGTGGAGCTCACATCTGTAATCCTAGCACTCTGGGAGGCCGAGACAGGCGGATCACTCAAGGTCAGGAGTTTGAAACCAGTTTGGGCAAGAGTGAGACCCCGTCTCTACTAAAAATAGAAAGAAACTAATTGGCCAACTAAAATATATATAGAAAAAATTAGCTGGGCATGGTGGTGCATGCCTATAGTTCCAGCTACTTGGGAGGCTGAGGCAGGAAGATTGCTTGAGCCTAGGAGTTTGAGGTTGCTGTGAGCTAGGCTGACGCCATGGCACTCTAGCCTGGGGAACAGAGTGAGGCTCTGTCTAAAAAAAAAGAGCAAGACCATGTCACAAAAGAAAAAAGATAGAAAAACTGTTAAACTGAATTGAATTGCAGGAGTGATCACTTAACTTCCCAGTATGGATAAAGCTCTAAAAGGAAACACAGACCAGCTACAAGAGGGGAATTGTGCTCCAAAGGTCCCACTGAACAGATCTACCTTCCCCTATGGTGGAAGGAAGTGATACATCATAGAATGGAGATTGCCTCTTCCAGTTTGAGACCTTAGGATCAGGCAAGGTATCAAGTGGCCCTGATATGATTTTACAACGGCATACAATTATTCTCAGAATGCCATATGTTTAAGGTGTATAGTTTGTAGGGTCTAGCTAGAGCCATAATAAAAGCCGAATACATCTGTTTTCAAAAGTTAACTCTCAGCTGGCAATGTAGAGCCAAGTCTTATGAAGCCAAGCCACAGACACATGCGTCTTTGGGACTCATCTCTGCCCAACCTCTTGGGATCTCTTAGGTGCAACCCTTGGAGGCGGTCTCCGTTTTAATGACACTTTAGAAAAGATCTCAAGACTCATGGGGAATGAATATGAAATGATGAAACATTGGGAGGTTGGGATAAAACTTGAGAAACCAGAGGGTTCTCTCAAATGCAGCCACAGGAGCACCCAACCCTGAAAAGCAGCAATCCTGGGCACATCTGTTCATGCCAGCAGGGCTGCTGAGCCACAGGGCACACCCCACAGTGTTTTACCATCACTGACAGTTGCAGCACATGAGGGCTGGTGCTTCTCCCAGCCTCCACTGGCAGTAGGAAGAGGCTCAGTGGCGACCCTGGGCAGGGCTTCTCTTCTGGGCCTTTTCATTGAGGTCAGCCCCTCCTCTGCGGCCTGGGAAGAGAAGACCCCATCAGCTAAGAGTAGAAAGAAACAAGCAATCAGCACTGTCCTCTTCTTCCTGGAGAACAGTGTTGTGAATTGACGAAGACGGGCCAGGAGTGGTGGCTCACGCCTGTAATCCTAGCACTCTGGGAGGCTGAGGCCGGAGGATTGCTCAAGGTCAGGAGTTCAAAACCAGCCTGAGCAAGAGTGAGACCCCATCTCTACTAACAATAGAAAGAAATTAATTGGCCAACTAAAATATACAGAAAAAATTAGCTGGGCATGGTGGCGCATGCCTATAGTCCCAGCTACTCAGGAGGCTGAGACAGGAGGATCGCTTGAGCCCAGGAGTTTGAGGTTATTGTGAACTAGGCTGATGCCACTGCACTCTAGCCTGGGCAACAGAGTCCTGGTCTCAAAAAAAAAAAAAAAAAAAGGAAGACAAACCACAAACCACACTAATGTGATGTGAGCAGACACCTGGCACCCCTGAGACCAGGCCCACCTCATTTTCCCTCTTCTGTCTGCCAGCCTCCTCCGGCTGCTCCTCTCGGCTGGAACGCTCAAATGGACAGTCTGGGTGGATTTCTTTTTCCCTCAGGAATTCTTCTGTAATTCCTAATGACTCAGCAACCTGGCAAGAAAGGGGCCAACAGAAATCAGCTTAACCCAAATCAGACCCAAGTTTCCAGAAGCTTGTTCACACATGAGAATTACATGACTGGGTATAAACCTATGAAGTTCTTTTGTACAGTAAAATGCCTTCTAAACAATGCGAAAGATGAAGATGAAGTTAGATGTAACAGCTGATGATAAAACGGATCGTTACCAAAATTGGAAGGTTCTATGTGAGCACAGTTTGGAAGAGGAGACTAAAAAGGTCTTTTAAAAATATTTATTTATTTATTTTTGAGATAAGAGTCTCACTCTGTCACCCTGGGTAGAGTGCAGTGGCATCATCGCAGCTCATTGCAACCTCAAACTCCCGAGCGCAAGCAATCCTCCCGCCTCCCAGAGTGCAGATTACAGGTGTGGGCCACTATGCCCGGCCTCTTTTTTAAAAATTTAAAACACCATATTGCTGTCACAAGCTTAATGCTGTTAGCTGACACGCAGGTAACTTTCTTGCCCGTTATCCCTCCTCTAGCGACTTCTCACTAGTCTCTTGAGAAACACTGCCCTGCCAGTGCCATGAGCAGGTCTCCCCTCCCAGCCGGGGGAGAGGCTCGGGGCCTGAGAGGGCTGAGCTGGATCCCAGCTTCTCTGCTCACGGCCCATCTCCCCGAGTTTCCCTGTCCATGTGAAGAAATTACAACTGCCTGGGAGAGAGTCTGTGAAGACTCCATTCACAAAAAGCCTATGTAAAGCACCAGGTGTAAAGGTAGTAAGTGACAGCTGTTACCATTTCCACATGGCAGTTATCGGGAGCAGGCCACAGAGACAGAAGAACAAGGCAAAGGTAGGAAACGGAGGCCGTGCGGGTTTAGCACCTGCCAAGCTGGACGGTCTCCTCCTACAGACGGAGCCCTTTCGGTGCCCCAAAGCGGCGACGGCACTGCCCGCAAAGGACGGGTTCCGACGGGCGTGCGCAGCATGTGTTCCACGAGATACCCACACTTGTTTAACTAATAGTTTAAAAAACGTATAGGTGACTACTGTGCGGGGCATCTACATGGGGCTCCGTAAACAAAATCATTCCCTTTTTTTTTTTTTTTTTTTTGAGACAGAGTCTCGCTTTGTTGCCCAGGCTAGAGTGAGTGCCGTGGCGTCAGCCTAGCTCACAGCAACCTCAAACTCCTGGGCTCGAGTGATCCTTCTGCCTCAGCCTCCCGGGTAGCTGGGACTACAGGCATGCGCCACCATAAAATTAGCGCCCGGCTAATTTTATATATATATATCAGTTGGCCAATTAATTTCTTTCTATTTATAGTAGAGACGGGGTCTCGCTCTTGCTCAGGCTGGTTTTGAACTCCTGACCTTGAGCAATCCGCCCGCCTCGGCCTCCCAGAGTGCTAGGATTACAGGCGTGAGCCACAGCGCCCGGCCCATTCCCTTTTTATAATACAGAATTTAGGAAAATAAAAATACTCAAGTTTATTAGGAAATACATTAAATAATAGATTTGTGTAAAACTAACAACAACCAATAACTTCCCCAAGAACCCCCCCCAAAAAAGTATGTATTATATTACAGTGTGGACCAAGACTCCTTGCAACAGAAGAGTCAGCAACATATGCTATAGAATGCTAACCCTTCCAGTCATGGATAGGCAGATCCATCGGTTTAATAAAATGCAAAGAGTGGTTACAGGCAACATGGCCTTTCTAAGAATTCTTCATTATACATGTCATCTTTAACTTTTTAAATAAACAAATGACTATTTTAAACCATGGCAGCATTGTGAGAGCCAGAGAGGACCATTTCATTCAGTGCTCCCCTTTCACAGAGGGGAAACTGAGACCAGAGGGTACAGGGACCCCATTGGAGGCAGTGAGTACTCACCCGTACAGATGGCGGGGCCAGAACCTGAGTCCCCCATGCCACTGGTGACTGTGAAAGGCCACGGGGTAATCAGATCACGTGGTGCATGCTGTGCCCAACACAGAGTTTTATCCAAAACAAGCAAAACTGCTTCAGTTCAAAGCTTATTTTTCTCAAGACCGCAATATAGCTAGAAGCCATTTGATAATGACAATGACATTGAAATGAGAATTAAATCAAAATGACCACAAATGATAACTACTGGCCCCTGTGTAACCAATCCCCAAAAATCTACATAAAGAAGAAAACAAAGGTATTAACTGTGGTCAGCAGTAAGCAGGAGGATTATGGCTTTCAATTTTCTTTTAGCTTATCTGTATTTCTGAGTTTTCCAAAAAGCATTTATTGCTTTAAGAAAATAACTTCTGAAGAGGAAAGGCTAAAAATAAATAAATAAATAACCAAAAACTTCACGTGATGGGAAAAAGTTAAAAAGAGGTTAACTGTGAAGATGTCATTATAAAAGCATTCGTTCGTTCACGGGCCTCCTTTTGGCTAACTCCAAGAGCAAAACTCGTTTTGCCATGTGAGATCATTACCTTATTATTGTTTATTTCCAGGGGCTCCTGAGGACATGGACCAGAAGTACTGAGATAATCTTGACACATTTTCTTAACCATTCTATGCAACTCTTCAAATTCCTTATATACAGCTGGGAAAAAAGGCTTTGCTAGATGGCCTTTTTCAACCTTCATGAAGATAAAGATTAAAAAAAAAAACGTTTAAGCCTGAGGCAGTGATATGGAAAATACAGAAAGGAATTTAAATAAACAAAGGATACATGTTCCTCACCCCCTTGGCTGCCCCTCAACATGGGTGCTTCCTTCGCTCCCCAGTTGACTCCCTACTGTGTGCCCGGCACAGCCCGGGAGGCCAGAATGGGCCTGGGGAGCAGGTCAAGAAACGACCCCGGGTGACAGCCACAGAGGGCGTGGCGAGGGTGAGCTCCACGGCCAGGGCTGCCAAGGCAGCAGGAAGAGAAGGCTGACAGGCCCTGAGGGTGGCTCTGCCATCCATGGGCAGTGAGGGGCTGGTGGCCTGGGTGCGGCGTGGGCACAGAGGGAGCAGAGCCTGCATAGAGGCGGCCAGCCAGGGCGGGCGGGTGCCAGGCAGGGCTCCTCCCACGCCTATGAAAACAGTCAAGGTAGCGGATGAGCCCCAGCTACACGGGCACCTCACTTCAGCTCCATCCTGGAGAAGGGAAATGATTCCAAACGGCTTGGCTCTTTCTAAAATAAATACAAAAGATGCCTTTCTAAAGAACTTCAGGTCAGCCCCTCTATCACTTGCAAACTGAGAGGACTCACCTTCATCAGGAGAAATTCATACACAGTCACAGCCTGAGCCAGCCGAGGCAGAGCCAACTCTACCAGGTCCTCCCGGTCACACTGCTGCAGAAACTGCCAGAAGAAAGCATTTTCTAAAAATCACTGTAACAAATCTTCAGTTTATTGGAAGCAATTCAGTTTCAAAAACTTTAGGTTACAGCAGTTCACAGAAAACACAAGGAGCAGTCAGAAACAATAAAATAATAATTAAGAGTACTACATTTTATTTGTTTGTTTTTAACACTGTCATGGCTTTACTCAAAACACAGTTGCATGAGTATTAACTTCAAAGTTTTTAAGGACAGATTCTTAAGGAACTTAACACACTATATACATACTGCCATACAAAGAGCATTAAAAAAGGACCAAAACCTTCTACGAATGTAAGAGCCACCCTTATTTGCACGAAAATACCACCCCCAAAGCTATTATAAATAAGTCTTCAAAGTTATCAGGAGGATCTAAGTGTTGTTTTCAAATTAAAGAACTCTACTTTTGATTGTACAATAAGATGACTGATAAGAAAGTCAATATATAGATTTCATTTTTTTTTTTTTTTTTTTTTTTTTTTTTTGAGACAGAGTCTCGCTTTGTTGCCTAGGCTAGAGTGAGTGCCGTGGCGTCTGCCTAGCTCACAGCAACCTCAATCTCCTGGGCTCAAGTGATCCTTCTGTCTCAGCCTCCCAAGTAGCTGGGACTACAGGCATGCGCCACCATGCCCGGCTAATTTTTTCTATATATATTAGTTGGCCAATTAGTTTCTTTCTATTTATAGTAGAGACGGGGTCTCGCTCTTGCTCAGGCTGGTTTTGAACTCCCGACCTTGAGCAATCCGCCCGCCTCGGCCTCCCAGAGAGCTAGGATTACAGGCGTGATATAGATTTCATTTTAAAAATAAGTATTTTATAGTCTGGAAGAGTATATATGCAACAAGAATTCTTGGGGGCTATTAATAGAACAGGGCATTTCTATTTTATTAATTTCAGAAGACAAATGCTAGTATTTTGGAGATCCCAATCCCCCTCCTACTAAACTCATCCTAAATGTTTTATTTTAGTCAGTTGTGTGACTTTTTTAGTTTCTCCACAAATATCTTCATAATTTTTACTTTAAAATGCCAAGTCAGACATTTTAAACTAAAAAAGCAGCAGCAGCAGCAGTACTATACTCATTAATTTAAATGTGTCCCAGTATAAAAGCATAATTTCAATTATTAATAATTTGCTGATACTACCTTTTAAAAAGTTTACAAATATTCCAAACAAAGTAAAAAAAATTTAGATAGCCAAGACTAAAAATACATTCACCTTGAACATGGAGTCTCCATGACAAAAATGAGATACACTCGTCTACTCATCACATTTCATTTAATAGCCATATAAGGAAACACACACACACTTATCCCAAATATTTTTCTATTCTTAATGGACATCCACTTGAAAACAAATTTTAATTTTAATACCAATTTAGTTTCAAGTATTTTTCCTACTGCCTAATATATTCCAATTAAATGCTATTGCTGGTAATGCTTTAAAACTATAGGCATAATTAAAGGTTCTACATGGGAAAATTAGAAATACTTTGCAGAGTGGTATCCAAATCATCTGAGAAGCCAACTTAAAAATTTGACTTGAATGACTTATTAATTATCAACAGGCAATTGTTCTGACTTTGGAGGAACACCAATGCTGATTCCAAAACCCCCCCTGCTTTGCTTTTTTCATCCTACTAAAACAGTCTTAGATGTCAACCAAGAAAGATTTACAGTAAGCAGAGCTTGTTGCATAAAACTGTACTGTTAACATTTGTAGCTCAGAAAATACTCAATTTTTTTCATTTCACTTATTTGAAACTCAGACAGATCTGAAAAGGTGGTTTAGGTGTAAGACTGAAGATTTTCCTAGGTATCCACAAGTTTCCCCAAGTTTCTTTTGAGATAGAGGGAAGGGAGTGAAACAAGAAGGGAAGGTGATCATAAAGGAATTACTGAGAAGAAAAAGAATGCACACCCCAAGACAAAAACAAAACAAAACAAACTGTTGGCTTGTCCTGATCTGCAACCTGAAGAAAGGGCTCACCTTCGTGTCTCGAGACCTAGTATAAACAATTTTTCCTTCAAAAAGAAAATCTTACCAGTCACCACAAAATCCATGAACTATATTACTGAATAGAACCTTTACTATTCTGTTTGTACTTTCCAAGTTACTCATGTGACAAAAGAAGCACCCAATACTCTTACTAAAAAAAAAGTCATTGCCTTCAAACTAAAGATCTCTGGATCACCTCTAAAAAAATAATCAACTTATCATTCAAGAGACTATTGTCATTTCATGTTATAGCTGACTGTAATTTCAGTTAAATTTGTAAATAACTTTAAAACCTTATGAGTGAGGCCGGGCACAGTGGCTCACACCTGTAATCCTAGCACTCTGGGAGGCTAAGGCAGGGGAATCACCTGAGCTCAGGAGTTTGAGACCAGCCTGAGCAAGAGCAAGACCCCATCTCTACAAAAAATAGAAAAATTAGCTGGGCATGGTGGCATATACCTGTAGTCTCAGCTACTTGGGAGACAGAGGCAGGAGGCTCGCTTGAGCCCAGGAGTTTGAGGTTGCAGTGAACTACGATGATGCCACTGTACTCTAGCGGGGTGATAGAGCGAGACTCTGCCTCCAAAAACAAACAAAAAACCTTAGGAACGAAATGCACCATACAACACCTGTGTAAAAGTGATCATGTTTTAATTATGGCTAAAAATGACTAATACAGTGAGCTTGAATTAGAAAAATTAAGATTCTGCAATAAATAAATTGCTAGGGAATTGCTAGGGGGTCAATGAAAAGTTTTCCTACATATGATAGGATCATTAACAGACTAGTAAATCTTATTTGAAATGATAAGGCAAAAATAGTATACTAAAACCATACTTTTCCTATAAAAAGTTACACATATCTTTTTTTTTTTTTTTTTTTGAGACAGAGTCTCACTTTGTTGCCCAGGCTAGAGTGAGTGCCGTGGCGTCAGCCTAGCTCACAGCAACCTCAAACTCCTGGGCTCGAGTGATCCTTCTGCCTCAGCCTCCCAAGTAGCTGGGACTACAGGCATGCGCCACCATGCCCGGCTAATTTTTTCTATATATATTAGTTGGCCAATTAATTTCTTTCTATTTATAGTAGAGACGGGGTCTCGCTCTTGCTCAGGCTGGTTTTGAACTCCTGACTTTGAGCAATCCGCCCGCCTCGGCATCCCAAGAGCTAGGATTACAGGCGTGAGCCACAGCGCCCAGCCTACACATATCTTCTGTGGGGACAGCTGTCGTACATGAAGAAACAAAGCAGATGTGATCACTCTACTACACACCCAGGAACATTAGGGAATTTGGTCATCTTCTTCCTCTCCATCATTTCATCATCTCACTACCTCTTCTCCCCTCAAAGACTTTCTTCTTCCTCTTCTCCCCCTTCTTCAGCATAGTCATCATCTTCTTCATCCTGAATTTCTTCTTTCATTAAATATGAGAGGCCCACTTCTTCTGCCTCTCTCAATTCTGAGCCTGCTTCATCTTCCTCCTCCTCTTCCTCATAACCTTCAGGTGGACCATCATCACTTCATCTTCATCATCTTCATCTCCATCCTCCTCCTCCTCCAAGTCTGGTGCTTCCTTATCCTCTGATTAAATCCATCTAAGTATGATTTTCTGCAGCAGTTCTTTTTTTTTTTTTTAGAGACGGGGTCTCGCTATGTTGCCCAGGCTGGAGTGCAGTGGCTATTCACAGGCGCGATCCCACTACTGATCAGCACGGGAGTTTTGACCTGCTCCGTTTCCGACCTGGGCCGGTTCACCCCTCCTTAGGCAACCTGGTGGTCCCCCGTTCCCGGGTATGCAGCAGTTCTAAAGTACTTTCTCTACAAATCTTCCAGGTTTGTGATCTCATAGTTAAACAAGGCAAGACTTTTAAAATTTTTAAGATTTGGCATAGCTTCTACTGCACTAAGATCTTTGATTTTGTTTCCACTCAGATTTAGGAAACTAAGATTTGGACATTTCTCTGCCAGGACTTCCAAGCCTCCAGAAATCATATTATCACTAAGCCCTGATTTTTGAAGTTTATTTAAGCTGGGAAGCCAGGCAAGTGAACTTAGTTCCACGGTAGCCATACTCAGAAACTCTAGCTTTTTAAAAGTATCATCCAGGCCTTCAATTTCCCCACTGAAGGCAATTATCAAGAACTCACTCTGTCATGTCCTCCGGAGCTCTGTTCCTTGACTCCAGGTTAATCCTCTTCACCACTTCCGTGTCCCCCTCTGCCTTCCACTACTACTTTGCCTTTCCTGCCTTTCCCACTACCTTCTATCCTAAAATATTATGAGATTTGAAAATGAATGAAAAGAAATGCAAATATAAACGCCCACTACCGCCATAAAGGTGCAGTGGAGCAAGAAGAGAACAGCAAATGGAGTCCAAGGAGTTGGGACTCTAACTCAGCTGTCCCCGCCCCCTTGCCCACACGCCAGCGTGCACGCGCACACACAAGCACACATACGCTCACACGGTTCCTCCCCCTTCAGTGGCTCCTCAAAGACTCCAGAAGAAAGAAAGCGTTTGACACCTTTGAAAGCCCTGAGAGAATTTCCCAATAGCAACAAGCTGGTGCAACACGGAATATAAAGGAAAGTTCTGCCAAACTCAGCAACTAGGCAACTCTAACCTAGAAACATTCTGCTTTATTGAATATCTCACTGGTTTGCCCATTAACAAAGTGCTGTGATCCATTCTGGGTTCAAAGTTTGAGTCCCCACAGACAAGCTCTGAGCACTGTCCTGGGTACTGGCCCTGGGACAAGGACAGAGTGATGAGGAAACGTGTGCCCTGCCCTCCTGGGCTCACTGACCACTGTGAGACAGAAATGCAAACAAGTCAGGAAGCTACACCACCAGAGGCTGTGCCACATGGCCTAGGCACCCAGCAAAGGAACCACTGTGTGTGCCAGGGGCTCTCGTGCAGGGAGGACGGCAGCAACTAGGGCTGGCAGGCCAGGAGGTCTGAAAGCGCAGCACAGTCCTAGCCTGGGAGGGGCTGAGGGCTTTGGATTTCTTTCTATAGGTAGGTGTGGAGGGAGGTTTTAGGCAGGCCCCTGGGATGGGGCAGAGAACAGGACAGAGGCAGGCAGGAGACTACTGGCAAAGCACAGGCAGGACCGAGATGAGGACAGGGGTGTGGGCAGGAGGGAGATGTGAAGAGGGCACAATCCTCGGGGCTTAGTGACCACAGGACACGGGGAGGGGTGAGTGAAGGAGAAAGAGTCAAGAATGGCTCTGGGTTCCCAACTGGAGTCCCCAGCAGATGAAGTGGCCCTTGACAAGGCAGGAGTAGGTGGACAGGAAGACAGCTTGTGGCCTCGCTCAGACAAGAGACATGGAAGTTGGAGGGGTTCACAGGACAGCCGGGTGACGATGTTTCAATTAAGAGATTTGAGAATCCAGAGAGGTCTAAACAGGAAGTAGAGACATGGGAGTCTACAGAGGGTAGAAGGTTTGAGAAACCAGAAGGATGAATAAAAGCCCCAAGGAAGTAGTAGAGTGAGGAGGAAGCCAAGGAAGTTCTGGGACAAAGTCTCTTGAGTTTCAGCCAGGTCACAAGATTGGGGCTTAGGAAGACAGATTAATTAGGAGCTGCAAAAGACTGGAAGGGGTTCAGCAGAGGGCTACAGATGCTCATCAAACAGGCAGAAAAACTAAAGGAAAATCTTTTCATTTGTAGACAAAAATATTTAATTACAGCCGGGTACAGTAGCTCATGCCAGTAGTCCCAGCACTCTGGGAGGCTGAGGCAGAAGGATCACTTGAGTCAGGAGTTTAAGGCTGCAGTGAGCTATGATCGTGCCACTGCGCTCCAGCATGGGCAACAGAGCAAGGCCTTGTCTCCAAAAAACAAACAAACAAAAAAAGTTTGACTTTCAAAAACCTTTAGAAAGAAATGGCTAGCTGATTTCAACTCTAGAGGAAGTGCAGGAAGGTCAAAATGTAGGGTATTACCTCGTCATGACCTGGCCTAAACTCCGGGTGAGCTTAATGACAGCAGACAGGGCAGCTCCTCAATCTTCTGTTTAATGCTCACACTCCCCGGACACTTCTGTCAACTGACTGGTCTGACTGTCACCTTCCTCCCCAACAAGAGCAGGGGCTGTGTCCACTTTGTGCACATTGTCCCCTCCATACTCAGAACAGGGCCTGATACTTATACCCAGTAAATGTATATATTTTTTTTTTATTTATTCTTTTTTTTTTTTTTTAGAGATCAGCACCACCATCAACCAGTAAATGTATAAACTAATGTCCATTTCTGGGGAAATTCTCATTTACAAGAATTGAGAATGGCCCTGGAAACCATTTCCAGTTAGAAAACCATAGAAAGCAATTTCTATGGTTTTCAAAACTGCTTCCATATAAACACAGGCTATAATGATTCCAAAACTTATAAAGGTAAGCAGCTTTTGGAGCTACACCAAAGGCCCTATGGTCATTTTAAACAGGCAAAACCTGTGAATTATCTCAGATAATGGTCCTCCAATTCTCTGTGGGACCAACAGGACATTGTAAATCAAATTGATAGTGTCATCATATCAGAGTCACTGATGTACAGACCAGCCCAGGCCTCACTCAGACACCCTATCTCAGACATGCTCTCAAACACCAAACAGCCTGGACTCAAACTCTGGATCTGTCATCTACCTTCAGGACAACCTTGTACAAGTTATTTAGCCTCTCTGAATTTCAGGTTACTCATCTACTATAATGGGAAAATAACTATTATGAAATAAATGAAATGAGGCCACTGGAAGCTTGTAGTATGTTGGCATCAGGATTTGGTGGAGTTGAATTGCTATGCAGAAAATGCTCAATAAATGGTGGCTATGTTGAATGCTAATGAATGAATCAAGTCGAAGACTACCTTACCTTCTACTTCTAAATATTAGTCATCCAGGATTATCACAATACAAGCCCAAATGGGAGTAAAGCTAACTCACCAGGGTTTAAATTTGCTACTAGAACAAGTAACATTACATTTGCCCCAGGAGACTTTCTAGGAAACCCACTTCCTCTCTGAAAACCACCACTTCTTCCCTTTCTATACAGGAGTTGAGGCCCTGGGTCCCCTAAAAGCCACTCTTTCTGGGAGCCAGTGGTCTCACTAACTTATCTCATGTTCTCTCTTGCTACATTTTCCGCTTCTTTTCTTTAAGATATTCGCTTGGCCATTACCAGGTAAATAAATATATTCTAGTCAAAGAGAATTTGGGTAAATTTATGGTTCTACTTTTCCAAGTCAACCCAATTAAATTCAACCATTTCCATTGTTTTCTGAAGTGCTTCCATGTAAACACAGGTTACAGCTAATCCGAAACTTATAAAGTAAAGCAGCTCCTAGAGCTACAGTGAAGAGCCGATCATCAGGTAAACCTGTGAATTATTTCAGATAATACTGTCCTTGAATTTATTACTTACTTTATCCAATTATCTTTCAAGTGAACTGTTTAGTTGATCTGGGTATTTTACTTTTAAATTCAGAGGGCCAGTAGTGAATTGCCACATACTATGCCAGCGAAACAGGTTTCAAACACAGGGTTGTAAGAGCGACATACCTCCTGGAGCCTGGCTTTGCCCTTGGATGTGCTCTGTCCCTCTGCCACAGCAGGGTTCCTGTGGGGCTGAGCCACTCCTCCGGTGCTGGACTCTGCAGGCGTCTCGGAGTATCCACTTCCAGGTCCCAGGTGTCTCTCTGATTCCCAAAGAGCAGAAGGACTTTCATTTTCTGGTTCAGACACCAATGCCTCTTCAACTTCTACAGACTGGCCATTCTAGATAGTGTTGCACACCCAAAAATAAATAAAATAAAGTAAAATCATGCTCTGTATATCGACTTGAAAACCTTAAAGCAGAAAAAAGTCAAGTTGAAAACAAGGAACTTACTAAATTATCTCTTCTTTACATAATCAAGACATATTAACTATAATCAATGCATCTTAAACTTTCCCAACAAAATATCCCCTTACGACGCTGGATGAATATTAGACATAGTAATAGCCAGCCTGGGCTGCCAAACTGTAACCCTGCGGTGTTGACCAAAATGAAACAGAAGCTCTTCTGATGTGATTGTCATCTTAAAAATTGACCTGAATTTTGTTTCTAATTCATAATTTATACATGACTTTTAAGTTTTTTAAATTATTTTTATTGGATATATTTTAAACACCATAAAATTCATCCTTTGAAAGCATACAATTCAGTGGATTTGATATATTCACAGGTTGTGTAACCATCACCACTATCTATTTCCAAACGTTTTTATCACCTCGCAAAGAAACCATACCCATTAGCAGTCACTCCTCATTCCAGCCTCCTCAGAGGCCCTGGCAGCCACTAATCTACTCCTGTGTCTGTGGATGTGCTTGGCTTTTTGAAGAGAATCCTGGATCTGACACTGCCCAGTGATTTCCTCATTCCATGCCAATTCCCTCTTCTGAAAATAGGAACAATAACACGTACACATCCCAGGACAGATGGAGGGTCAGATGAGCAAACACAGAGAAAGCACGCAGCTAGCACTAAGTGTGTCCCCTTAACTCTTAAAAAGAGCTTTCCCTCTGAATCTTCATTACCATGAAGCTTTTGGAGGAATGGCAGGTCATCTGTGACTTTAAGTGCCACATGGCCCTCGGGAAGGGAGGGAGAGACACAGATCTGCCTGTCCCTCCCCACCCCAGCAGGCGGGAGGGAGGAGAGAGCTCAGGGCAGCCACCATTCCCGAGGCCAGGTGTCTGTATTCAGGAAGTCAAATATCTAGAAGTTGCTTTTGCTGTGATATAGGATTTCATGACTGAAGGAAGTGGAAAGTGCCAGTCAGCCTGGTCATCTGATTTGTCTAAGACAGTCCTAGGTATTCTTGTTGTCCTTTATGATCATTAATAATGCCCCTTTCACTCTCAAAATGTCCAGGATGATAAGCTACATGGTCGCTGTAGGGGAAAAATAATAACCCCTTTAGGTTTTTAGACAGACTAACAAGAGAAAAACAAACAGAAGTTTATTAACATGTATATTTCATATATACGTGAGACATATCTGAAGAATGAATAGTTCTTAAAGAGGTGGTTTTGAATTGTAGCTTATACAGCATTTTTAGCAAAGGACAGTACATTTTTAGAGAAGTGACAAGATGAATGAAAAGGACTTTCAGTCTCTACTGGAGGGCAACTTGGGAGACGGCAAATAGCTGGCAGATAAAGTTGGTTAGTCAAATTAATGTAGTTTCCTCTGCTATCGTCTCTAGGCTGACAAAGGTCTAGAGCTGCCTTCAGTGGTTAACTTTTGTTCTCCTGGTAGAGAGAGGGGCAGGACACTGTTTGTCTTTATAAATCTATGTCCTGCTTTTAGGATAGAAGGAGGGCAGAGAGCTTTCTTTTATCTGCTTCTTAATTGTCTTGGCTCAACAAGCCTTCATATTTTGAGGAGGCATATTATGGTCTCCTGGATCACCCTGACCCTAATAAAACTTAAGAAAAGTAGAATGGTTTTCCAAAAGTTGGAGTATTAGCAGCCATAAGAGGTATAGAACCTCCTAAAAGAAGCAGCCTGGGCCAGGCGCAGTGGCTCACACCTGTAATCCTATCACTCTGGGAAGCCAAGGCGAGTGGATTGTTTGAGCTCAGGAGTTCAAGACCAGCCTGAGCAAGAGCGAGACCCCGTCTCTACTAAAAAATCGAAAGAAATTAGCTGGAAAACTTAAAATATATAGAAAAAGTTAGCCAGGCATGGTGGTGCATTCCTGTAGTCCCAGCTACTTGGGAGGCTGAGGCAGGAGGATCGCCTGAGCCCAGGAGTTTGAGGTTGCTGTGAGCTAGGCTGATGCCACAGCACTGTAGCCAGGCAACAGAGCGAGACTCTGTCTCCAAAAAAAAAAAAAAGCAGCAGCAGCCTGGTCTACAGTGTGGGCTTTGAAGTCAGAATAACTGGAACTAATTTCCGCTGGACATGCCATGACCTGGGATGGGTCAGTTATCCCCTCTGAGCCTTACTTGCCTCATCTTAAGAAGGAACTATTGTACCTATCTTTCAGGGCTCTCATAGCACTAAGAAAATTTTTGTGATACTCCTCACACAAAGGGCTTGCCCAAAGTAAGCACGCAATAAATGGTATTATTGTTGTCGTTGTTGTTATTCTTATTGAGGCCAATGCTAAAGGCAAGATAATATTTTTGAATCCTAACACAGGGTTGTCCCTGTAGTTCTACAACTAGACCTCAATATAGATCTCCTAGGGCCAGAGAGTATTAGTTCAAGTATTAGCTCCAAGGTGCCAATCTGTAAGCCAAAGTAGCCACCAGCCTCACCCCTCCCTCAGGAACCCCTACCCCACAGTGGAGAACGAGGGCGCCAGAGCAGGCAAGCACTCCTTTTTTACATCTTCCAACTCACTAAAGTTACAAACTCCCATCAAGGAATCACACTGGGACTGGACACAGTGGCTAGTGCCTATAGTCCCCTACTTGAGAGGCTGAGGCAGAAGGTTCACTTGAGCCCAGGAGTTCAAGACTAGCCTGGGATACACAGCAAGACTCTGTCTCTTAAAAAAAAAAAAAAAAAAAAAAGGAATCGCATTGATTCCAATGCTGGTTTCTCTATTTAACACTTCAAAAAGAACTACAAATTAAGGTTGAATATCCCAAATCAAAAAATCCAAAATCTGAAACTTTTTGAGCACTAACATGACTCTCAAAGGAAATGCTCATTGGAGCATTTTGAATTTCAGATTTGGGATACTTGATGAGTAAAATGCAAATATTCTAAAATCTGAAATACTTCTGTCACAAACATTTTGGATAAGGGATACTCAACCTGTACTCTCACTACAATTATCTAGCCAAAACACAGACACAAAAAAATATCAGCCAGTGCAAGTCAAAGGAAAAGGAAGGAGGAGGGAAACTACAGAGACCTGCCATTTGTTAAAGTGATCTAGCTGCCATTTAAAAAATAATTTATCTATACCATATGTGCATAATACTACATCACCACATGTTTGTATGATATTCCTAAATAAATTTTGATTTAAAGATCAACAAACATTTACTTGTGAAGTAAGGAAAAAGGAGAAACTCAAATTTCTAAATCAGAAGTGAAAATGGACACTTATGAATTATAGAAATAATTATAATGGAATACTATATATATTTATACAATAACAAATTGGATACCTAGATGATGACAAAATTCCCAGATAGCCAAAACCTACCAAGATTCAATCACAAGATACGAAAATCTGAAAAGCCCCCATAAATATAAGAGATTGAATAGTATAAAAAATCTCTAACCAAAAAGCTTGAGCCTGATGGCTTTCATGGTGAATTCTATCAAGCATTTAAAGAAGAATAAACACTATACTTCATAAACTTTCAAAATTGGGAGATATTAGACCATCTATAGTAATTACCTGATACCAAACCATTACAGAAAGAAACTAAGGCATTTCTTGTGGCGCTACACAGAAATTAAAAAGAATATTAGATTGCATGCTGTGATGTGATAGATGTTCAATTACAAGAATCTATGCATGTAATACACCACATTCACAGAATGAGAAAAAACCCATTATCGGATCCCTCAGTTTGATGCAGACAAGCGCGACATTCACTTTTCAGATAAACGTCAACAAATAATAAAATTCCTAATATATGAAAAAACATCATACTCAGGTGAAAGACTGAGAAAGGCTTTTCCTGTAAGATCAGGAACAAGACAAAGATGCCCTGCATTCTGACTTCCATTCAACGTAGTGCTAGAAGTTTTACATCTACCAGAAAAAGAGATAAAGGCATCCAAACTGAAAGAGGAAGTAAAATTATTCAATACTCTATTTGCAGATGAAGATCTTATATGTTGAGAACAAAGATTCCACAAAAAAAAAAACCCTGTTAGACACTAATAAATAAGCTCAGCAAAATAGCAGCATATGAAGTAAATACAAAAACTCATTTGCTTTTATTTTTTTATTTTTTATTTTTTTTTTGAGACAGAGTCTCGCTTTGTTGTCCAGGCTTAGAGTGAGTGCCGTGGCGTCAGCCTAGCTCACAGCAACCTCAAACTCCTGGGCTCGAGTGAATCCTTCTGCCTCAGCCTTCCCGAGTAGGGCTGGACTACAGGCATGTGCACCATGCGCTAATTTTTTATATATATATCAGTTGGCCAATTAATTTCTTTCTATTTTATAGTAGAGACGGGTCTCGCTCTTGCTCAGGCTGGTTTTGAACCTCCTGCCTTGAGCAATCGCCGCCTCGCCTCCAGAGTGCTAGGATTACCAGGCGTGAGCCACAAGCGCCCGGCCTCATTTGCACTTTTAAACACTAATAATGAACAATCTGAAAAGACATTAAGAAAGATCCAGGCCGGGCAGGTGATTGCTCAAAGGTCAGGAGTTCGAAACCAGCCTGAGCAAGAGCGAGACCCGTCTTACTATAAATAGAATTAACTGGCAACTAATATAAGAAAAATTAGCCGGCACGTGCCACATGCCTAGTACCCAGCTACTTGGGAGGCTGAGGCAGTAGATCACTTGAGCCCAGAGATTGAGGTTTGAGCTAGGCTGATGCCACGGACTCATCTAGCTGACAACAAGTGAGACCTGTCTCAAAAAAAAAAAAAGAATTCCACTTAAAATTGCATCAAAAGAATAAACTACTTAACAGGAATTACCAAGGAGGTAACATATAAATGAAAACCACAAAACGTTGCTGAAAAAAATAAGAAGACATAAATAAATGGCATCATAGTTCAAAGATTGTAAGACTTAAATTAAGATATACATACTATCCAAAGCGATCTGCAAATTCAATGCAATTGCTATCAAAATCCAATAAATTTTCTGCAGAAATAGAAAACCCATCCTAAAATTCATATGAAATCTCAAGGGATCACAAATAGCCAAAACAATCTTGAAAAGATAAAGCTATAGATCTCCACTTCTGATTTCAAAACTTACTACAAAGCTACAGTAATAAAAGAATGAGATATTGACATAAAAATACACGACAGAACACCAAAACGGAAAAGGAACTCAGAAATAAACCCTTACATATATGGTCAATGATTTTTGATAAGAGAGCCAAGACCATTCATGGGGAAGGGACAGTGTTTTTAACATACGACAAGGGAGAACTGGATATACACATGCAAAAGAATAAAGTTGGGGCCGGGTGCGTGGCTCACGCCTGTAATCCTAGCACTCTGGGACCGAGGCGGGAGAATTGCTCGAGGTAGGAGTTCAAAACCAGCCCTGAGCAAGAGCGAGACCCATCTCTACTATATAGAAGAAATTAATTGGCCAACTAATATATATAAAAAAAAATTAGCCGGGCATGGTGGCGCATGCCTGTAGTCCCAGCTACTCCGGAGGCTGAGGCAGAAGGATTGCTTGAGCCCAGGAGTTTGAGGTTGCTGTGAGCTAGGCTGATGCCACGGCACTCACTCTAGCCTGGGCAACAAAGCGAGACTCTGTCTCAAAAAAAAAAAACGAACTTATTATCAAAGACAAATATGAACCCAAAACCATAAACTCTTAGAGGAAACCTAGGGCAAAAGATTCACAGATTGGATTTGGCAATGATTTCTTGACATGACACCAAAGGCACAGGAAACAAACAAAAAAAATACACAACTGGACTTCATGGAATTTTAAATGTTTTGCTTCAAAGCCACTAATGGGTGCCGGGTGTGTTGGCTCATGCCTGTAATCCTAGCACTCTGGGAGCCGAAGGCAGGCAGATTGCTTGAGGTCAGGAGTTCAAAACCAGCCTGAGCAAGAGCGAGACCCCCGTCTCTACTATAAATAGAAAGAAATGCATTGCTAACTAATATATATAGAACAAACACAAGGTGGTGCATGCCTGTAGTCCAGCTACTCGGGAGGCTGAGGTAGTAGGATTGCTTGAGCCCAGGAGTTTGAGGTTGCTGTAAGCTAGGCTGACGCCACGGCACTCACTCTAGCCTGGGCAACAAAGCGAGACTCTGTCTCAAAAAAAAAAAATAGCCACTAACAATAGAGTCAAAAGACAACTCATCGAATAGGAGAAAATATTTGCAAACCATCTGTCTGCTAGGACAGTGGTCCTCAACCTTTTTGGCACCGGAGACTGGTTTCATGGAAGACAATTTTTCCCTGGGTGAGGGGAGCAATGGGGAATGGTTTGGGGATGATCAAGCACGTTACGTTTATTGTGCAGTCAGTCCTCTCTGCTAATGATAATCTGTATTTGCCGCTGCTCCCCAATGCTGGCATCACCACTTCAGCTCCACCTCAGATCATCAGGCATTAGATTCTCCTAAGGAGTGCAACCTATTACTAGATCCATCGCATGTGCAGTTTACAGTAGGGTTCGCACTCCTTAAGAATCTAATGCCTCTGCTGATCTGACAGGTGGTGGAGCTTATGCAGTGAGATGGGGAGCGGCTGTAAATACACATGAGGCTTTGCTTGCTCGCTGGATAGCCCCCCACACACACACCTCTGCTGTGTGGCCCAGTTCCTAACAGGCCACTGACCCATACCGGTCTGCAGTGTGGGGGTTAGGGACCATAGTGCTAAGGGATTAATATCCAGAATATACAGAGAACTCCTAAAACTCAGTAACAGTAAAAAGCTACCCAATTCAAAGGCAAGGAACTTGAATGGCCGTTTCTCCAGAAAAAATAAACAATGGCCAATAAGCACATAAAGAGATGCTCATCACTAATCACTAGGAAAATGCAAATTGAAACTATACCAAGATACCACCTCATACCCATTAGGATAGCTACTATCAAAATAACAGAAAATTGGCCAAGTGCTTATAGTCCCAGCTACTTGGGAGGCTGAGGCAGGAGGATCATTTGAGCCTGGGATTTAGAGGTTGCAGAGAGCTATGATCACATGACTGCACTCTAGCTGGGGCAACAGAGAAAGACCCTGTCTTAAAAAAAAAAAAGTTTCAGAAGGGAGAGGACATGCTAAGCAGCCTGGGACTGTTGACACTCCAGGAAGCACCCCCATGGACTGCCATCCCCAATTCTGGCCTTTCCCAACACCCTCTGTAATGTCAGTGTCAGCCATGAGTACTGTGATGAGTTTTACTGACTTGACAGCTGCGTTCCCATCCAATCACGTCAATAGAGAAAAGATGCATATCTCTTCCGTTTGGCAGCAGTGCCAACAATGCAGGGGTCTAGATCCCCCACTATGATGACTATGAGACTGCTTGAGCCTTTGCCTGAGCCCCAGTAAGATACCATAAAGGTTAACTTAAGGACGATGGGCAGGCAGGGGCAGGAACAAAGACACCATACCCAGACAGACACGACAGACACGTTACCTGCAGGTTACCCCGTGCTGACTCTGTCCCTGTGGCACAGCAGGAGAGAGCCCCGGCCCCCGGTACAGCAGCTGGTGTGGACAGCTCTGGTGCAGTCAGGGTAACGGTTCCTCCCTCCAGCGACCCCAGGATCGTGCTCCCGTTGGCTTTCTCAGACAACACTGTCTCAGGTTCCAGCTGGCTATGGCCTGGATTAAGTTTAAAATGCCGGGCAAGTCCCCCTTTTCCTATGTAGGATTTTTCACAAGTCTGACACTTAAAAGTTTTGGGCCTCAGAGAGCAGCTTGATAAGTCGAACAGTGCCTGCTTGTCCCTCTGGTCCTCATCTTCTTCCACACTCAGTTCTGAGTAATCGTCGGAATCTGACGGATGACCATCTGCCAAATCCTCCGTTTTTATGAATTTATAATCTTTAGCTTTATATTTGGGAGGTCGAGATATCCGTCCAGAACGTGTTTTCACTTTTAAAGATTTTTTTAGTTTCTCAGTATGTTTTGTATGCAAGTTGGAAATAAATAAATGAGCTGAACTGGATGAAACAGATGTTACTGCCGGCGGGTCAGAGGCCGACAAAGGGGCCAATGTGGAGCCCAGTCCATGTCGGGGCTTGGGGGCTGTGACTCTCTTTGCAGGGACTGGTTGGAGGGTAGGCAGTGGTCTCTGTACAAACACCTGAGCAGGAGGCTGAGGCAAGTCACTTGGGAAGCATGGCTGGGGACCAGTTCTCACGAGGGGCTGCACCCTGAGCAGCTGAGGGCTGGCAACGCAGAGCCCCATCTGGCTGGAATTCCTGCCGGGAGGCTGGCTCTGTCTTGCTGCTTTGGGCTGGATGGTGGCCAGTAGGGGCATTGGCCTTTCCTGTCCTTTAGTTTCTCCAGATGTTACCTTGACACAAATGGCTTCTAGTTGCTTAAGTATAGAAAGAGGAAAACAAGAAAGAGAAAAGAAGTATTATGCTTACCAGCATTTCCATAATTTTGCTCTCATCGTAAATCTACTATCGAATTGTTTTTTAATTTATGTCTTACATATAAGAGTCTATGTAATATGTCTGTTCTGTTTACAGCGGTGTTTTTCAAACCTTTCTAACTACAGACCAGTGAAACATTTTACATCATGACCGAGTACACATGTGCAGAACACATCTGCATATGTAAATGAAGCAAAAAGTTTATGCAATCACCTGCCATTCCTAAATAAACACCCTCTAATGATATCTGTTCTACATTACCTTTTAAAAAATACTAGTCATGGCTGGGCGCGGTGGCTCAGGCCTGTAATCCTAGCACTCTGGGAGGCCGAGGCGGGTAGATTGCTCAAGGTCAGGAGTTCAAAACCAGCCTGAGCAAGAGCGAGACCCCTGTCTCTACTATAAATAGAAACAAATTAATTGGCCAACTAATATATATAGAAAAAATCAGCCAGGCATGGTGGTGGCATGCCTGTAGTCCCAGCTACTCGGGAGGCTGAGGCAGGATTGCTTGAGCCCAGGAGATTGAGGTTGCTGTGAGCTAGGCTGACGCTATGGCACTCACTCTAGCCTGGGCAACAAAGCAAGACTCTGTCTCAAAAAAAAAATAAATAAATAAATAAAAATAATTTATCTATACCATATGGTGCATAAACATCACACATGTTTGATATGCTAAAATTCCTAAATAAATTTTGATGTGGTAAAGATCAACAAAACTTTAGCTATGTGAGGTAAGGAAAAAAGAGAGAAGACTCAAATTTCTAAAATCAGAAGTGAAAATGGGGACACTACTATGAATTCTATAGAAAAATAATTATAATGGAATACTATAAATAATTTTACAATAACAAATTGGATAACCTAGATGAAATGGACAAATTCCCAGATAGCCAAAACCTACCAAGATTAAATCACAAAGAAATAGAAAATCTGAATAGCCCCATAAATAGTAAGGAGATTGAATCAGTAATAAAAAAATCTCTAACCAAAAAAAGCCTTGGACCTGATGGCTTCACTGGTGAATTCTATCAAGCATTTAAAGAAGAACTAACACTAATACTTCTCAAACTTTTCAAAAAAATTAAAGAGGAGGGAATACTCCCTAACTCATTCTATAAGGTCAACATTACCCTGATACCAAAGCCATTACAAGAAAAGAAAACTACAGGCCAATTTCTTTGATGAACACTGACACAGAAATCCTCAACAACAGCAACATATTAACAGTATTGTATGTTGTGATCAAGTGGGATTTGAAGATGGTTCAATATACGAAAATCTATCAGTGTAATACACCACATTCACAGAATGAAGGAAAAAAACCATTATGATCACCTCAGTTGATGCAGAAAAAGCACTGACAAAATTCAACACCTTTTCATGATAAAAATACTCAACAAACTAGAAATAGAAGGAAATTACCTCAACATAATAAAAAGCATATATGAAAAAACATCATACTCAATGGTGAAAGACTGAGAAAGCTTTTCCTGTAAGATCAGGAACAAGACGAAGATGCCTGCATTCATCACTTCCATTCAACGTAGTGCTAGAAGTTTTAGCTAGAGTGCTTAGGCAAGAAAAAGAAATAAAAGGCATCCAAACTGGAAAGGAGGAAGTAAAATTATTCAATATCTCTATTTGCAGATGATCTGATCTTATATGTTGAGAACAAAGATTCCACCAAAAAAACCCAAACTGTTAGACACTAATAAATAAGCTCAGCAAAACAGCAGCATATGAAGTAAATACACAAAACTCATTTGCACTTTTAAACACTAATAATGAACAATCTGAAAAAGACATTAAGAAAAGAATTCCAGGCCGGGCAGGCGGATTGCTCAAGGTCAGGAGTTCAAAACCAGCCTGAGCAAGAGCGAGACCTCGTCTCTACTATAAATAGAAATTAACTGGCCAACTAATATATAAAGAAAAAATTAGCCGGGCACAGTGCCGCATGCTCGTAGTCCCAGCTACTTGGGAGGCTGAGGCAGTAGGATCACTTAAGCCCAGGAGATTGAGGTTGCTTTGAGCTAGGCTGATGCCACGGCACTCACTCTAGCCTGAGCAATAAGTGAGACTCTGTCTAAAAAAAAAAAAAAAAAAGAATTCCACTTAAAATTGCATCAAAAAGAATAAACTACTTAGGAATTAACCAAGGAGGTGAAAGACATATAAAATGAAAACCACAAAACGTTGCTGAAAAAAATTAAAGAAGACATAAATAAATGGAAATACATCCTAAGTTCAAAGATTGTAAGACTTAATATTAAGATATACATACTATCCAAAGCGATCTGCAAATTCAATGCAATTGCTATCAAAATCCCAATAAAGTTTTCTGCAGAAATAGAAAAACCCATCCTAAAATTCATATGAAATCTCTAGGGATCACAAATAGCCAAAACAATTTTGAAAAGAATAAAGCTATAGATCTCACACTTTCTGATTTCAAAACTTACTACAAAGCTACAGTAATAAAAGAATGAGATATTGACATAAAAATACACAGAACACCAAAACGGAAAAAGGAACTCAGAAATAAACCCTTACATATATGGTCAAATGATTTTTGATAAGAGAGCCAAGACCATTCAATGGGGAAGGGACAGTGTTTTTAACATACGACAATGGGAGAACTGGATATACACATGCAAAAGAATAAAGTTGGGGCCGGGTGCGGTGGCTCACGTCTGTAATCCTAGCACTCTGGGAGGCCGAGGCAGGCGGATTGCTCCAGGTCAGGAGTTTGAAACCAGCCTGAGCAAGAGCAAGACTCTGTCTCTACTATAAATAGAAAGAAATTAATTGGCCAACTAATATATATAGAAAAAAAAAATTAGGCCGGGCATGGTGGCGCATGCCTGTAGTCCCAGCTACCTGGGAGGCTGAGCAGCAGGATTGCTTGAGCCCAGGAGTTTGAGGTTGCTGTGAGCTAGGCTGATGCCACGGCACTCACTCTAGCCTGGGCAACAAAGCGAGACTCTGTCTCAAAAAAAAAAAAAAAAAAGAACTTAAAATTTATCAAAGACCTAAATGTGAGACCCAAAACCATAAAACTCTTAGAAGGAAACCTAGGGCAAAAGATTCACAAGATTGGATTTGGCAATGATTTCTTGACATGACACCAAAGGCACAGGAAACAAAAGGAAAAAAATACACAAACTGGACTTCATGGAATTTTAAAATTTTTTGCTTCAAAAGCCACTAATGGTTGGCCGGTCGTGTTGGCTCATGCCTGTAATCCTAGCACTCTGGGAGGCCAAGGCAGGCAGATTGCTTGAGGTCAGGAGTTCAAAACCAGCCTGAGCAAAGAGCGAGACCCCGTCTCTACTATAAATAGAAAAGAATGCATTGCTAACTATATATATAGAACAAATTAGCCAGGCATGGTGGTGCATGCCTGTAGTCCAGGCATACTCGGGAGGCTGAGGTAGTAGGATTGCTTGAGCCCAGGAGTTTGAGGTTGCTGTAAGCTAGGCTGATTCCAGCGGCACTCACTCTAGCCTGGCAACAAAGCGAGACTCTGTCTCAAAAAAAAAAAAAAAATAAGCCACTAACAATAGAGTCAAAAGCAATCATCGAATAGGAGAAATATTTGCAAACCATCTGTCTGTAGGACAGTGGTCCCAACCTTTTTGGCACCGGAGACTGGTTTCATGGAAGACAATTTTTCCCTGGTGAGGAGCAATAGGGAATGGTTTGGGGATGATCAAGCACGTTACGTTTATTGTGCAGTCAGTCCTCTGCTAATGATAATCTGTATTTGCCGCTGCTCCCCAATGCTGGCATCACCACCATTCAGCCCATCAGATCATCAGGCATTAATTCTCTAAGGAGTGCAACCTATTACTAGATCCTCGCATGTGCAGTTTACAGTAGGTTGCACTCCTTAAGAATCTAATGCCTCTGCTGATCTGACAGGTGGTGGAGCTTATGCATGGGAAGATGGAGCAGCTGTAAATACACATGAGGCTTTGCTTGCTTCGCTGGATAGCACCCACACACACACACCTCTGCTGTGTGGCCAGTTCCTAACAGGCCACTGACCCATACCGGTTCTCATGGTGGGGTTAGGAGACCATAGTGCTAAGGGATTAATATCCAAGAATATACAGAGAATCCTAATCAGTTAAAGAAAAGCTACCCAATTTCAAGGCAGGAACTGAATGGCCATTTCTCCAGAAAAATAACAATGGGCCCCAATAAGCCACATAAAAGAATGGGTCCATCACTTAAATTTAGGAATGCAAATTGAAAAACTCATACCCAGGCTGGTTTTGAACTCCTGACCTTGAGCAATCCGCCCGCCTCGGCCTCCCAAGAGCTAGGATTACAGGCGTGAGCCACAGCGCCCGGCCTATAGTTCAGTTTTGACATGTTTTTAAACTTCATATAAATGATATAATCTCCGGCGACTTGATTGGGCTTTCTCAGGTGTTCACTCAGTTTTGCTTTGTGAAATGTATCCATATTGCTGCGTGTAGCTCTCAGTAGTTCATTTTCCCTGCAACATGAGTCCATCTCCTGTTCATGGACAAGCAGTTTCCAACCTTCTGCTCTTACAGTCTGCTCTGAACCTTCACGGATGTGTATGTGTGTGTGCGCACGTGTATATACATGTGTGAGTTGTTCCAGGGGCACATACCCAGGATGAGACTGCATATCTTCAACAACTTTTTACAAAAATATCTAACAAGGTTTTAAGTACATGTGATTTTTGACCTAGCAATTCCACTTCTTGAATTTCACAAAAAACACTCACATGGGCCCAAAGATGTATGTCTTACCAGGTTCAAGGTTGCAGCACTGTCTGCAACAGAAAAACACCTACCAAAGGGAAGGGCTGCCTTGAAGAACATTCCACAGACATTTATTGAGCACTGGCCCTGTGCCAGAGACTGTTATAGGTGTCAGGGATACAGCTGTCACAGGCTCAAGGAGAAGATAGAGGCAGCAAAACAGACAAAGCTCCTGCCCTCACAGAGCAGAAATAATGAGCACTTTCCTCCAGGAAGAAAAGACAAACCTCACTGTCCAGAGCAGGGTTTCTCAACCTCAGCACCCTGACATTTCGGACCAGTAATTCTTTGTTGTGGGCTGTCCTGTGCATGAAAGATGTTGAGCGGTGTCCCTGCCTCTACCCACTAGGTGCCAGGAGCATTCCCAAGTCAAGACAATCAAAAATGTCTCCAGACATTGCCAAATGCCCCCTGTGGGGCAAAACTGCCCTCAGTTAAGAATCACTTATTTGGGACCACCAACAGGCCCTCTTTAGACTCAACCCTCTACTAGTGGAGGGTCAATAAAAATGACACATGGGGCAAAATAAAAACCCTCACTCAAATCAAGCTAGAGTACAGCTCTTGTCTGTATGCATGTTATACACTACTACAAATAGCAGAGATGATTCAACATTTTGGTTTATGAAATATACAGAGCTGGTGCCAATGCCCCATGAGTCCCCAATTCCCGGGCCACTTATGAATCAAATGACAATTAGATTGATTTTGCATAACCTTCAAGAACCTTGTTTCATTTCACTACCATTTAGAATTTCCCGAAACTCCTGGGATATTACCAGATAATGCCATTAGATGAATACACACACACACACAAACCCCCCAATCCTATTGTTTTAGGATTACCACAGAGGCAAAGCTGGTCTAGTAATTTATTTATCTGCTATCTAAAATGTTTATTATGTGGGTATTATACTTGATATTTTGTTATATGTTTATTTCATTCAGTAAACTTTTACTAAGTATGTCTGGACGAGATACATAAACATTAGCCAAGCCCTAGTCTCACCCTTGAGATGGTGGGTGGTTTCCCCCGCCATGCTTTAGTGTCCTCGCAGACCTACTGTATCCGATCTCCTGGGCTGGAGCCCTGAGATCTGTCCCTTCAAAAGTTCCCCTGGTGGTTCTGAAGACAGACAAGATTCCCTAAAGAACACAGACAGGTGAGGCAGACAGGAAAACAATGACATCACATGGTACAGCAGGTGCAATTGAGAGACAGGAACACCCCAGCGGTGGTAGGCTTTCCAGAACAGGTGATCTGAAGGGTGGCATGAAGGCTGAGAATTTTTGCCAGGAGAAAAGGGGCATTCTAAGAAAAAACAGGGCATTCTAAGAAAAAAAATGTGCAAATGCATGGATGCATGAAAAGGGCACGGCATGTTGGATGGGAGAAGAAATATTCGTGAAGTGGGAACGGAGGATGGGGAGAGGCTGGAGCCTCAATCTGACCCACAGGAGTATCCACTTGGTCTGTGCTTCTGATCCACACTATCCCCCTCAGTGAGCCTTCTGCCCTGTCTAAGTGCACCCCACCCCCAGCCCTGGAACACTGCCTCCCCTCTTCTGCATTTTCCACTCAGACCCACTCTTCCAAATCTAGTTACTATTAATACCTCTTCAACAAAGTCGCTTCGGACCCCCTCAGACAGATATAATCTCCCTTTCCCTGAATGCATTGTTCTTTGTATCTCTAGCTTTGTGACCTTGATTGGAACTTATCTGGGCCATATTTTACCTCCTGTTATTTCATAAACTCCTTAGGGGCAAAGTACACATCTGGTTTGCCTTTGGGGCCTCCATGACACAGTTGGAGCTAAAAGAGTATTAGCAGAATGAGACCGGGCACAGTGGCTCACACCTGTAATCCTAGCACTCTGGGAGGCCAAGGCGGGCGGATTGCTCGAGGTCAGGAGTTTGAAACCAGCCTGAGCCAAAAGTGAGACCCCATCTCTACTATAAATAGAAAGAAATTAATTGACCAACTAATATATATATAGAAAAAATTAGCTGGGCATGGTGGCACATGCCTGTAGTTCCAGCTACTCGGGAGGCTGAGGCAGTAGGATCGCTTGAGCCCAGGAGTTTGAGGTTGCTGTGAGCTATGCTGATGCCAGGGCACTCACTCTAGCCTGGGCAACAAAGCGAGACTCTGTCTCAGAAAAAAAAAAAAAGTATTAGCAGAATGGGCCACAAAATGTACATTATTTTGTGTGTAGAATTTATATCATCTCCACTACATTAGCCACAGAATACAATTTTATCATGGTGCCTAACCTTTAAGTTTGCTTTCATTTTATGGAAAATGTACAATTTTTGGACTACTTCCTAAGTTGCCACTCCAAATCCAAACAGCTATGGACACAATCAGCCAGGTGTGGAGTACATGGGCTCTAAAGTGTACCCAGACACCTAAGGGACTTTGGGCAAAGTCACTCAACCTCTCTGAACTTGTTTCCCACCTGCAAAATGCTGATACAAAAACACTATTGGGTGGCTGCTGAGAATTAAACAGCCCAATCTAGTGCCTGGCACACAGCAGGGGCTCTGCAAATGGCAGCCACAGGATGGTGGCTGCATTGGGTGGTGGCATGCAGTCGTCTGACTCAGACTTGCTGTGCATAGCCTATGTGAGAGGTGTTTCATTTTTCCACAGAGAACATAAGCCAGAAAACTATCCTTCCTGCAAACAAGGACCAAAGCCCAAAAATGTTACCCAAGGTCACACCTCTGGGAAGTATGGTGTTTGGGCAGAATCATACTTATCTCCCCAAACTTCAGCGAGACAACTCTCCAGTCCTGATGACCAACTGGATACAACTCTCAGCTGCAAAAATCACTGTCAACAAAACCTCAAACAAATGAAGAGTGTTGGTTCTATTCTCTATGCTATTTCTTCTAGTGGAATAAACTCTCTTCTTTGAGCAATTTTGGAGTGAGAAGAACTTTGCCATTAATAGCCCCATCACTGGAAGGGGCTGTGATTGTATGGATGATGTGTAGGACCTCCAGCCTCAGGTGCTATGCTGGACCCTCTGGGAGACCGTTGTAGTTCCAACTCCCTTAGCAGCCAAGAGTTCTGTTACCCGGAAAATAAACCCACTGAGAAAGGACGTTTTGTAGTATACAGAGTGCTTTCACGTCTTCCATTCATTGTTTGTATCAGGAGCTGTACGGGCACTGGGGTTACAAATGTCGCGGCCTTGGCACTTGCTGTGCCTTACACCTGAAAAGCTAAGTTGGTTCCTTTTAATCCATTCAGGTCTCAGCTCCAGTGTCAGGCCTACAGAACCCTGCTCTAAAGCAGCCCTTGTCACTCCCAGAACCTGCCTTATGTTCATCCAGTGTGTTCCAGGCTGCACCTCCTGCACTTAACGTCGGAATCCGGGACAGGGAGAACGCTCCACAAAGGCTGAATGAGCCGACAGAGGCCTGTAGAAGAGCTAGGCAGCACGGAGGAGCCCGAGCAGGGCTGTGAAAGCAGAGAAGGCACGAGGGCGTCCCAGGCAGAGGGCCCAGCGTGAGCAAAGGCTCCTAGAGCGAGGCGCCGCGGAGGTGATGATACGCTGGGACGGTGACAGGTGGGGGCCGACTGCCGTCCCTAAGGAACTCAGCCTGGGGACGCCCTGAGGTTTTAATGCGGGCGGATGCCGGCCTCCCTGACCGAGCAGCTCCAAAGCCGACGACCTTGCCCCGCCGCGAGGTCTCAGCCCCTTCCAGGCCTCAGCTTCCCCCACGTCCCTCCCGGCGCCTCACCTGGGGCGGCAGCAGGCGCGGCGGGCGAGGGGGCTCGGCGTCCGGGCCCCGCTGCAGGGCAGCCTGCTGGGCCGCGTCCCGCAGCCGCCGCGCCGCGTCCTGCAGCACGAAAGGCAGCGGCTCGGCTGGCGGCTGCGCCTTCGTCACCTGCTCTAGGACCCGCCGCAGCTGCTCGGGGCCCAGTGGGGCCACGCGGGTGGCGCTGCTGCTCTTGCCGGGAGGAGCCAGGCCGCCACCGCCGCCGCCATCCTCGCTGCCGCCCTCAGCCTCCGGCTCCGCGTCCGCCATGGCGGCCGAGGCGGGGACTCGAACCCGGGTCGCCGAGCGACGGCGGCTGGAAAGTGCGTCACCTGGGAAAGGGGCGGGCTACGAGTGCCCCGCAGGCCAAGACACCTCGGCAGGCAACCGTACCTGGCCAAGACACCTCAGCAGGCAACTGTACCTGGCCGGGTGGGTCGGCGGTGGGGTCTGAGCGAGCCCCGCCCTTCGCCAAGTCCTGCATCGGCCCAGTAGACCGGCCTTACTTTCTTATCGCCTGTCATGGATGTATTTAACTTCCAGCTGTCACCTCCTCCAGGAGCTATCCCGGATCTCCCCAGCAGAGGTCTTTGGGATCCAGAACCCTTTGCCTAACACTTATCACACTATCCACATGTTCTCAAAGTCATTGTGCATCAGAATCACCTGAGGATACTTTCTGGATATACAGATTCCTGGGCCCCACCCCCAGACATTCTGATTTATAGATCCAAGAGGGTACCCAAAGTTCGCATTTTTAACAAGGGTGCTCCCCATCCCCCCAATTTTTTCCACGTCGACCCACCCCATGTCTACCCACCACCCAGACTAGGTGCACTTTGAGATATTAATATATTGCTCATTTGGTGCCCAGAACAGGTCCTGCCCCAGAATGCACGCTCAGGGAATGAATGATGGATGGATGAATATGAATGAATGAATGAACCCACCCTCTCTACATTTTAGTCCTATGCATCCAGCTTCAATGCCTCTTCTTCCTCAACCTAATCTCCTCTCTTTACTGTGGAGGCTCTGTGTGTCCTTCCCACCCTGACTTGTAGCTGTAGGTATGGACACATGTCTCAGCTTCTCTCCCTGGGAAAGGCAATAGGGCCATTGGTCAACAACACTTAGTAAGCACCTGTTAGGTGAGTCGCCATCGCTGCCCTGTGGAGTATACAATCTAGGTGGCAAGGAGGAAACTGGCATTTGCAGCACTGTATGATGAGTGCCACGATGCCAACAAGGGGAAGGCTGGAGGCCAGGCTGTTATCAGAGAAGGTTCTGGAAGACCTTCTGATCATTTTTTCCTCCAAAAGATCATCATTATCATTATCATCAGTACTTACAGTGCATTTGCCATGCATCTTGTTGTTGTTGTTTTTGAGACAGAATCTCATTGTTACCTGGGCTAGAGTGCAGTAGCGTCAGCCTAGCTCACAGCAATCTCAAACTCCTGGGCTCAAGGGATCCTCCTGCCTCAGCCTCCCGAGTAACTGGGACTACAGGCATGCGCCACCATGCCCGGCTAATTTTTTCTATATATATTTTTAGCTGTCCAGCTAATTTCTTTCTAAATATTTAGTAGACATTTGGGGGGCGGTCAGGATCTCACTCTTGCTCAGGCTGGTCTGGAACCCCTGATCTCAAACAATCTGTCCCCCTTGGCCTCCCAGTGTGCTAGGATTACAGACATGAGCCACAGAGCCCTGCCTCCTGTTGTGTTTTAATTCATTAGTAGATTCACTAAGGGTTGGCTGGTAGGGAGATCAGATTTGTGATATTTGTTTGAATTCTTTAATCATTTCCTTTTTGTTTTTTAACTTTTGAAAGACAGCCCTTCTCATCCTCCCGTCCTCAGATGTCAGAAAGGTCCTCTCTTTGAAACTTGGATGATTTTCTGAAGAAAAAAAGTCAATAAAAGAAAAAAGAAAGGTCCCCTCAGACTCTTAGGCCAAGAACTGCCCCTATCATCTAGAACATGGTACCCCATTGCACCATCTTTTTGACCCTGTTGGAAAGGAAAAACTTTTTCTCTACCCTCTTAGGTTACATTGCTTGGAGGACTTTGAATTAAATTTACAAAAGACAGATTAAAAGAAAAAAGACAAAATTAAAACATGTGTTTTTGTTAATGTACCTGAGAAAGCTTACACAAAAATGTGACTCCAGTAGGTGGATAGAATTTGGGATTTATGTACCATATTAATAGGGAAAGGGGAGGGGCAGAAGGACACTTTTGGGGGAAAAAAAGACTTTTAGGAGAGATGAATAGAAGGGAGATGGTCTTGTGACAACGTCTGTCTAGGTGTGGTGCCAACTTCTCCTCTTCAGTGAGTGATAAGAATCAATCTTTCCTAGTTGCTCCCCAGGAGGGGATTTATGACAATTTGAGTTCTTTTGAGTTCTTTTGGGAGGCTCTGCTCTTTAGCAGATAAGAGCAAATGCCTTCTGCTAAAACTAAATTTCATGCCACAGTGGCCTTATTCTGAACCTCTTCAAATTCAGGTAAGTATGTGCTAGGGCAGCGATCTGCACCAGCTCCTCCACGCTGTGCTCCTCCATCTCACAAGGTGCCTTGTACACACATACAGCAAGGTGTGACATTCGGCATGTGTGCAGGTGTCTATTTTAGGTGTCAGCAGTCCCAGCTTCTCCTTCTAACTTTGTTTGTAACAACAACAGTCTCATCAGCCGGCATTCATTGAGAGCTTATCAAGGGCTCAAACCTGTGAGGTCTGTGGACCTCGAGCTGCTAGTGATACTTATTTAGGTCAGAACTTAACACATACTTGAGGAAAGAACGAATACTATAGTAGAGGTTTCCTCTGCAGATTTTTTCCAAAAGAGCTGGAGCTCCTGCTGGATCCCCGATATAAAATAGCATTGGCCCTAGAAAAGTGGCTTTTGTTAAACTGGACGCACCAGACCGCGCCAGGACGTGAACCACGGGTGGGAAATTCACCCACCGCCCGGTGGCTGCAAAACGCAGCACCAAGAGGAAGGAAGGTGAAGGCAAAGATCGCCCTGAAAAGAAAAAAAAAGCAAGAGAAAACCCCAGATACTTCCTTCTACAACCAGAGCGCCTCGCTGAAGCATGGCAGTGGTTCATTCCCGGCGGGTCGCGGGCTCCGCGTGGGCCGGGGCGCGGGCCTCTCGCTGCCCGCCCGCCGCTGTCTTCCCGCCGGGCGCCGCGCGCACCGGGCTCTGCTCGCCAAGTCTGCGGAATGAACCGATTCCAGACCCGGACTCGCAACCCTAAGAACGCCGGGAACACCGGGGGCCGCGCGAGGGCCTCGGAACACTAGCTGGTGGCATCTGTGACATCTGTCTTCATCGGGCAGCCCCTCCAGGCAAGCCCGAGCCTCGAGGAACGTCGTGGGTGTGGGAGTGTGTCCTCGCGGACGCTCGGGGTGACCGGTGGCCGCCCGCATGCGCGCGGCTCTCCCCAGGCGGCTCCTGGGACGACTTCCGGGCCGAGAGTAAGCAAGATTCCGTGTCTCCCTGCTGTCTGCGCGCCGCTTAGAGTCCTTGAAAGGCATATTTTTCAAAAAAATGCTGGCAAAATGTATTTTTAAAAAGTTGCTCCTGTGGCCCGTACGGGGATCGAACCCGCGACCTTGGCGTTATTAGCACCACGCTCTAACCAACTGAGCTAACCGGCCATCCGTTGGTTGGCTTCCACTGGGCCACCTACAAGGTATCTAAGGCCACAATGGCCCGTGAGTGGAGAAGCGTTTCTTTGCTGGGTCCGCAAAGCTGCCTGCCTTCCGCTGGATTCCTCCTGCGACTATCGTCTTCCTCATGATCATCCCATTGCCCGGATGAAGAAACTGAGGCCCAGGGGGGCTTTAAGAAGAAAGGCGATGGTGTCCTGCAGCGAATTGAAGGCTTTTACAGGGAAAATGCAAATTGCACAAAGAAGGCTGAACTTGGGAGTAAAAAGGTTTCAAACATTCCAACTCAATGCAATTTTTATTATCTCGGAATCCTTGCAGCTTGTAGACTTCGTGTATCAAGAGCCTTTAGTTTGGTTATATAAGGCTCAGAAAATACAGAAAACCGGGCAAAGAAACAAAGAACCACCGAATTGCCTACTGCCCAACAAACAACGGCGGCTCGGGTCCTGGCTTCCTTCCTGCCATTTTTTCTCATTGTACAGGTGTATTTAAAAATGTATGTTTGGAACCCAGAGGCTTGTTTAGAAGAATATAATTTTTTTTAATCTTGCTCTTTGTACTTAATATTCAATCATAAGCATATCCCTAAGTAATTGCAAATGTCATTTCATTATTTGTTTTTCTTTTTTGCAAGCACTTTCTCGTGTGAACAGAATATGTCATTTTAAGTGGTTCTTCCATGTTTCGTTCAGTGGATAAGTCACAGCTTTCTCTCCTTTCCCTCTCTCTCTCTTTTTTTTAAACGTCTGGGAAAATGTTTTCATTTTGCTCTCTCTTTTAACTGAACACATGAATAAATCGCATGGTACAAGGCAGAAGGGCTGAAATAGCCACTGAGTGGAAAACGGACAGAACCCACCCCAAAGTGATAGGGTCTGTAGGCCCAAAAAAAAAGGAGGAAAAAATGCTAGGAAGACAAAACTCGACCATGTGCACGCCCCAGCCTGTGTGTTCCTGGGGCCTACTGGTCTCTGAGAGGCCTGACCGTGGTGTGTTGCTGTGGCCTTTGCGGCTCCAGGAGCACAGGAAGGGAGCACCCGAAGGGAGCACCAGCTTTTTCACACTGTCTGCTCCTCTGCTGTCACAACTCTAATAAACTGCTTCAAGTGATGCATCATCAGGGTTCCCTGTGGCAAGCAGCAGACACCAAATCTAGCTGATCTTAACAGATTTTATTGAAAGAATGTCAGGCTGCTCACCCTACTGGTGGAATGCTAGGTGACCAGGTTTAGAAAAACTGTCAAGACCAAATGCATTAAGCCTGGCAGTGCCCTG